GAAGCGCATTGCGAGAAAGCCGAGGAGACGAAAGGCCGCGATGCAGCCGCAGAGCACAGCCACGTTGCTCCCTGCGTCACTCGAATGCATTTGAAACATGGTTTCAATGTACTGCTTGACCGTCACCTTTGGGGCGTTGTTGAACTTGTACACAATCAGAGACAACGGGACGTCCGACATGGTGGCGCAGCCCAAATCGTTTGGATTCTCGCACGTTGCAAAAGCCGCCGACACGAGGAGCGAGAGCGCGTACTTGGGTGGTACGATTGTGTTGAGCCACTGGAGACCGGCCGGAATCTGCGACGTCGGCGGGTTGAAGCCCATGAAGAGGAAGAAGATCGAGCTGATCAAGCCGCCAATGGTGCTCGCGACCTCGATCGACGGCAGCGCGCACGCCAGGAGTTGGCCAAAGTAGACTTGCATGAGCACAAAGAGGAAGAGGTAGATCGTGAAGAGCACGCCTTGGCTCCACCCGACAAAGCCCACGAACGGGTAAAAGATGACGCTAAAGACGACGACCGAGACAAAGACGTACGGGATCTCGATCAGCGTCGAGCCGAGAAAGTACCACACGGCACTGTACGTCTCGCAGGCGCGCTCGCGGTAGAAACTCGCGCGCTCCTGCACGTACAACGGCAAGACGTTGTTGAAGCCCATCATGCCAATGAAGAGCGACGCCAGAAATACGATGCCAACGCCCGCGTTGAGGCCGCTAAAGCTCGAGTATGTCGTTTGGCAGTAGATGATGCCAAAGAGGATCGAGAGCGCGACGTTGATGAGAATGCGCGTGAGGTTGTACGACGGCGTGCGCCAGTACATGCGCACAAAGCGCTGGAGCACGAGCTTGCATTGCACGTTCGGGTCGGCCGCGCACTTGCGCGTGAACACCATTTCGGCCCGCTTCATGTTGCTCTCTTCTTGGAGCACAGTCAGCATATCGGTCTTGGCCACGCTGGCGCTATAGAGCGCAGCAAAGTCCTTTTCAACGGCGCCCGCCGCCGTGCCCGCGCCAATGACCTCGAGCATCCACGTCGCCGGGTTGTGCCCGGGCTTGATGGCGGGCGTGTCAGGTATCGCCTCGAGGTACTCGATGAGGTGCGCGCTGCCAGTGCCAAGCGGACCAAAGTAGACAGTGTGCCCACCGCGCTTGAGCAAGAGGAGCTGGTCAAACATCTTAAACACTTCGGACGACGGCTGGTGGATCGTGCACACGACCGTGCGGCCCGACTTGGCCACTTCTGTGAGGCCTTTCATGATGCGCAAGGCCGCGCGTGCATCGAGCCCCGACGTCGGCTCGTCCAAGAAGAGGATACTGGCGTTGGAGGCCAGCTCGACACCGATCGTGAGACCTATCGAAGGTTACGTTCGCACTCGATTGATGCAGTAGCGAAAGGACGTACGCTTCATCTGCTCGACGGACGACCCGCGAATGATGCTGT